GGGCTGGCCGCGGCCGGGCCAATCGCGCGAGCCCGTTTGCTGACGGACAGCGGGCGGCACCAATGGCCGCGAAGCGCCCGCCCTCCTCGCACTCCCGCCCCCTCCACGTCTTCCACCGTACACAATGGCCCCAAAGGAAGGCCCGCTTGCCCGCGTCCCGAATGAGAAGGGACTCGGAGGGGACCGACGGGGCCTGCACTCCCCGTGGAATGAAAGTGGGAAAAGGGAAAGAAGGGACCCAAGGCACTTGGGAGCTGACCAATAATAGGTGGGCAGGTGGGCGTGGACGCTAGGAGGGAGCACCAAAGCGGTCTGTGCCTAAAAGGCGGGACTTCCTGCCTCGCTCACCTTCCTACTCTTTTGTCTCATAGCAACGGAGTCGGCACAGGGAGAGTGTTGCTTGTCTGCTCTGAGGCTGGAGAAAGTTAGCTCCTTAAGGCTATTCAAGTCTTCTACTCAAAACAGCCGCCAAACTAGTGTCAAGACGTTGCTTCTCGTTGACTTATCAAAGAAAAGCGAAAGTCCCCAAGCTGAGAGTATCCCCCTCACCTGAAGTAGACTAGAGGTAGCAGCCAGTTGCCGAGCAAAACTTCCTAAATTACTAAGTGTTGTTTCTCTTTTACTGGCTAGTTCCTAGAGAGATTGAGATTCAAATATAAAACCGATATCCCGTCAAAGACATTGATAATACTGTCCACGTGGCTTCTGCTATCGGTGCCTGGAGATGATAAGAAACTGACGATGGGGAAAACAATTTCTAGTGAGCTCTTTGCATCATTTTATTAGATACAAATGTCTACATCTTTTCACGAGAAAACAGCCTTGAATTTTGTCTCAGTCGCTTTTTCTCTACATGCACTTTTTCTATTTTAGAAACAAGGGTCTTGAATCTCCCAAATCTTCCTGTGTCTGCACACTCTTAAGTTTTGAAAAAGGGCTGCATCTGCTTATTCTTACAAAGAGATAGCTACGTGCTGGGACCCTCTTTCAATAAGATCATAGTTTAAACAAATGTCTTTATTTAATTTCTACCCTACCACCATTGGTCAACATGATCAACAGTACTGAGTACATTTTACACCTCGGGGTTTTCAGATTATCTTGTTATTTGACTTTGCTTTGTATTGTTTTAATTTTGTCTTCTCTTTCTTCAACCAGTCAACCTGGAAAAATATTTATCAATTGATCTAGTTACTTTCTAAATAGTAAGTACTTTAATATGGTAATTATTTCTGCAAAGGAATCTTACTTCTCATAAGCATGATATACAGCCCTAAATTCAGATGGTGACGATTTTTATTTGCTGAAAAACAGAGAACATGTGCTCTTTACAACTTAGGAGATAAAATGTGGTCACGGAAGTAATTCTATTCTTTTTGGTCATTATAACTATGTCAATAACTATAGAGTAGTTCCTAGTTTCCACATGAAGGTTATCTGCAAAAGTGCTCACCCCCACCCATTCATATCTCCTTAACTAATAGAAACAGTACCCACCCTTACTAAATGAAACTGCCGAAGAGAAAATTTTACTGAGTCGCCTTTAAATTGTATCCACAAAGAACCTACGCTATGTACAGAGAGTTTTTCAGTCCACAGAAAAACAATGACTTGGGTAATGTTATCATTAAATATATGACTTAATTTATACATGGATGAATCCAGAATTAAAATGCATGTTACAGAATGCCATTTCTTTTACACTGCATTACATAGGCAACTTAAAGAAATGACCATGAGAAAATGACACTGTCTATGGTATCAACCTTACATTGATAGACATGGCAGATGATGTGGCATGTGGTTATACCTATGTGTATATTTTATAGATGATAGATAGATAGATAGATAGATAGATAGATAGATAGATAGATAGATAGATAGACATATATATGAAGTCTTGACTAATGTTCTCTATTTTACTTCTTTACTTGATCTCTGGGTTCTAATGTGCATTGTAATGGCTACAAAGAACTCAGACAAAATTCATGAGTAAAGGGTTTAAGAAGGAAGTTCTTAAGTTGTACTGCCAGTGATAAATGCTCAAGGTTGAATTGTTTATTAGGACATATTGCAAAGTTCTGTCAAATCTGCTAATAAATGCCCAAAAGGCATATCACTCTTCTCTAAGCCTCTACTAGGAGGAGTTCAGCTTAAGCTTCTAGGGTCAGCAAACCCAGCTCTCTAAATTAAGTGCCCAGGGGCACATCAGGCAGTCAGCTCCACTTCCATGTGTAAGCAATTGTGCAAAGCAAGTCCAACTTCCCCAATTAGGTGACCCAAGGCACCCCTCTCTGCAAACCAGCCTCCTGCACAGAGCACTCAGCTTTAACTGATCTTGGGAAAGCCCACCACACTGTTTCGTATTCTAGCTCCTGATTCTGCTGCTTCTCCTCTGACCTTGTAGCTGACACTCCAGGAATCCTGTTCACAATCGCTCACAGGCAAATCCTATCAGGACCTTCTTATGAGACCCATGCAGGAAAAGGTCACTTGGTGGGAGTTACATACTTTTGCTACAAGAGCCAAATTAAATAACTCACTGCCCCTGTGTGTTAGGCTGTGTTGACTAGAGAAACAAATCCAGTGACAAACTCCTACACTTTTATGTATCTTCAAGATGATACAAAATTATGTAATATCACACCCTGCAACATGCTTGTTGAGTTGGTTCCAACTCTTATGATCCTATAACACTGAACAAAACACTGCCTGGCCTGCACTAGCCTTACAATGCCATCTGTGTTTGTTTGAGTTTTTTTCAACCACCATATCAATCCATCTTGTGGAGGGTCTTCGTTTTTGTTTTGTTCATTTTTGCCTACTCACTTCTACTTTACTAAGCATGATGTCCATCTCCAGGACTGGTCCATCCTAATACCATATGCATGAGATGAAATATGAAATCTCATCATCTTTCTCTAAAGTAGCATTCTGGCTATACATCCTCAAGAAAGATTTGTTTATTCTTCTGGCAGCCCATATAATGAATATACATTCATTATCATCTATAATAGCATTCTATATCCTTCTACAATGCCAAAATTCTACAATGTTCTTCTACAATATCATTCAAATATGTCATTTCTCCTTCATTCTTCGTAACTCACAGTCCAATTCTCACATCCATATTAGGTGATTGAAAACTGCACAACTTGGATCAGACTCATTGCAGTCCTCAAAGTGTTATTTTTTCCTCTTTCACACTTTAAAGATTTGTGCCACAGATTTTCACAATACAGGACACCATTTAATTTTTTGATTGCTGCTTCCATGTTCACGGATTATACATCCAAATAAGACACAATTTTTGACAACATCAATCATTTCTTCATTTATCATGATACTGCTTATCGTTCCAGCTATGAGGGGGTTTGTTTCATGTTGAAAAGGGGTGTAATAGTTTCAAAAGACTATATAGTTTTTGATCTTCAAGAGGAAGTGCTTCAAGTCCTTTTGCTTTTCACAATCAAGGTTGTGTTATCTACAAACCAGCAAGAAGCAAAGGAGTACTCTACAGCAACAAACTGCATACAAAGTAGGTCACACCCATGCTGAACATCAAGAAGGGTGAGTAAAGAGTTACAGTCCACTCTAATCTTCTCACAACTGCCTGACTACTCAGAGCAGATTCTCCCAGAGAGGTAATTACAATATATTGGATCATATCAAAGGGGGGCCTCAACTGCCAAACTACATAGCATTCCGGTGGAGCCAAGCTGACACAAATCTGAGCTATTACAGTTTGCCAGATAGTTGGGTTCCAAACTCTTGGTATAGGTTAATGAGTACTTCCGGCATTGCATCAGTGTGTTGAAGCATTTTAATTGATGTTTCATAAGTTCCTGGAGCCTTATCTTTGTTTACTGCAGCCTGGAGTTCTTCCTTCTATGCTATCAATTATTGATTATACACTGGCTACCTCTTGAAATAGTTGAAGGCTACCAGTTACTTGGAGTACTGTATTATTAGTAGTACCTCCATCTTCTATATAGTCCTGTGAATTCCATCTGCTTTCTGGAAAATTCCATATTTTCCCCCACAGAGTTCTTCAAATATTACAACTCTGGATTTGATTTCTGTTTTCAGTTCTTCAGCTTGAGAAATGCCAAGCATGTGTTTCTCTTGATTTTCCAGCTCCACCCCTTTACACGTTTTAATGATAATACTTTATCTTCTTACCTAAACTTTGCAATCTATTCAGTTTTTTTCTCATCACTTCTTCCATTTGCTTTTGTTCCTTTATGTTCAAGAGGAAGTTCATAGTATTTTTTGACATCCATTTTTGTGTTGTATTTAGTTCATGTCTTTTAAATGATATGTA